GTGCACATTTGTTCGACTAAAGAGAGGTTTTGGTACAAAAAGCAGCAACTGTTAAAGGCAAAGTAAGACAGAAAATTAAACAATGGCTTTAAATCATGTAATTAACCTTAGGAAAATCAGAGACATTATGATAAACATGAAAAAGAAAGCATTAGATATTTTTCCATAATATGAAATCGGAATAAGGGGGTAGAAGTAGCAAAACAAGCAGTAAGTCTAGCTATTTGGGACATTGCTAAGTTCTGCCAATGTAAAGAAACATCAAAGTTCATGCTCAATAATCCAGGTAAAATAATCCAACAAAGTTCAGTCAAGTCCTCTGGATGGTTTCTTTTATTGTTGAGACATTTGGTCCTTCATCCAAAGGACTTCATCAGTCTGAGGAGCCACAACAAACTCAGTCCCACAAGCAGCACATTCACATAGTGGGCCAACAAGTTTGGTGGTGATAAGATGGTTTCTGGAGCCCACCCTCTCCCCCGTCGACTCATCGGAGGCAGCCATAGCCAAAGTGGTTCAAAACATCAAAGTTCATGCTCAGTAATCCAGGTAGGAAATTAATCTTATCACCAGCAAACTGGTTGGCCCACTATGTGGGTGTGCTGCTTGTGGAACTGAGTTTGTTGTGGCTCCTCAGACTGATGAAGTCCTTTGGATGAAGGACCAAATGTCTCAACAAAAAAAGAAACCATCCAGAGTACTTGAGTGAACTTTGTTAAAGTAGAAATACTCCCAATAATTGTAATGTATAATCTGTGTCTCATCCCTGATATTAGTGTTTGGATAAGAACAACAGGCTAGTTGTTAAAATGATATTTCTAAATATTTTCAACTAAATGTGTTACTCTTTATGAAGTAAACATTTACTACCTTAATGTTAATGGGACAGAAAATGTGTTTTTTAGATACTCTTAACCAGATCAGTGAGATTTAGGATTTTAGCACACATTACTGGTGCTACCTCCTTCTCAAGACAACTACAGCCCCAGTGCTCCAGTTTTTGTACAGCCAGGTTTAAAGGAGTTTGGGAAGCCCACTACTTCACATGCACTGGTAAATATGCAGAGAATCGGGCTGCCGTTTAATCCACCACCATATTATTTTATGATATTGTTGAAATCAGGTCTATCTTGTAAATGAGTCCTCGAGGCTCAACGGGATTTACCAGTCTAAATAAAGGTTGAATGAATTAATTTTATATTATTAGTGTTTAGCGTATATCTTAGATCCTTATATATTGTTTCTTTGTACACTTTATATTTTTGTTATTTTTGGGTGTAACGGGGACCCTGAGTACATAATTTTGTTCCACCTCATGTACCACGTGTGATGCGAATGACAAGAACCTTGAATTAATTTCCTCATTGGGGCTGATTGGTAACTAACGTGTCTCTGGGTGAGAGAGTGAATGGTTGTTTGTCTCGTTTGTCTCCATGTGTCCCTGTGATGGACTGGAGACCTGTCCAGGGTGTCCCCCGCCTCTCGCACAATGATGGTTGGACATGGGCACCAGCGACCCCCGTGACCCAAAATGGAAGAAGCGGGTAAAAGATAATGGATGGATGGATTTCATAACTGGGGATGGAAGCCAAAATTAAACTCCAACCGTAGAAAATGTACATATTGACTCTACAAATGTTTGTGGCGCCTACAAATACATCAGATCTTGTGAGCGATGACTTGTTGCATGTTTGTTGCATGCTCCCCTGTAGAGTCTCTCCGTGTTATTTTATTGTGTAGCTTAAAAAAAACACTAATTACAAAGGGGAAAACAAACCCTTTCTATATGAGTTGGATGGTTGCATCCTGGTAATCTCACACACTCGGTGGTGGTGGGTGGTGGTGGTGGTGGTGGGGGATTCCGAAACCTTTCAAACAGCTTTCTGTTGGGGTTTAGCCAAAATTGGTGACAGGGTGCAAAAAGTAATTAACAACATCATAGATTTCCAGTGGGGAGGGTTTCATTTCCGATTGATGCGAATCTAATATTTCCATTGTGAACAAGCAACCTCGATGTTAGATAAACAGTCTGCGCTATGAGATTTATCTACTGATCCACCTTACAAACCCATTAATTGAAGTAAAACGATTTTTAAAAGACATTTGCTCATTTTTTTCTTTTAAAAGATTGCAAGTAAAATGAAAATGTTAACCATAAACTGAGGCTAACCCTGGAAACAACAAAGACGTAAAACAAAGTACTGCTTCTCCAAATGCATAAGTGGGCACACTTTGATGAGGTTACGGCCACACACTCAGCAGAATGACACATTTTTTCCTTTATCGTCGTCGCTGCTTGCAGGGGGGATGAGGCACGCAGTCATTTCAGTCGGCGCCTTTCCCTTTTCGAATTTGACTGATCAGCCCAGAAAATTCAAACTCTGCGCCTGACGTCTGCGGGGGCGGAAAACCATATTTGTTCCTGCGGTGACCTTCACTGTTTTCTGCCTGTGGGCTGCTTGTTCCGTTTTATTTTGACGCTCTCATCATCACTAATCCTGGTCCCCACTGAGGATAATTCATGGCTCACAGGTTAAAATATTTTCAAACAACCTCTAATCATAGAAAACGTTTCAATTCTGCCAGTTGCATGTGCACAGTGTCAAACTCCCTCCCACACGCTCTTCCCTAACCACAAGCAGTCACTTCCTCCTGCTACAGACTTTATAATGGTATGAAATTAATATATAGGTCAACATTTGCTCATTGGTCTTTTTTACTTGTGGATACACATGTTTAATCTGTTACAGTTTGTATGCACCCTGAAGTACAGAAGAGCCCCTTTTTTAGTTTGTCAACAGAAACTTTTTTGACTATTTCAAAAATACATGGAAGACGAGTTTCCTTTGATGGTTGAGGGTCTCGTGATGTGAAACAAGAGTTTTCAAGCAACCTCTTTACGTACATAAAAAATCCCATATTGTGGTGTAATGTGACTAAATAAGCCCATGCAGGTAACGATTTAAAGCAACCTGAATTCAGGGAAAGCCCCTTAAGAAACGTGGCCCCTTTCAGCACCCCTTCAGGGTCAATGTGCATTTATGCAAAAAGGATACTACCGTGTAGCCTTGTGACACCACACACCCGAATTATATCAGAGGTGACAGAGGAAGCCCCTTTTCAACTGCATTCCACTTCTTCACCACATAAACTGAGAAATCGAAACAAACCTAATGGAAACGAGTGGCTACAACTCACCTGAAATAACAGTTGACGTCGACTAATGGCAGGTCAAGATGAAAAGTTGGTAAAACATAACTGAAGATTGAGAATAAAGACTCTTCTTTTATGATTTGACAGTGGTGCTGTGTTGTTTTTCTTGTAAATCCCACTCAAAAGCAATACAATATTAAAGGCCTATCTTTCCTTAAAGGGATGCATGTCACCCGTCGCCTTTCATGCCAGAGTTTAAGCTAAAATCAGAAGTTATTTTGGTAAAACCATACAATTACTTTCTGTAAGTTTTATTAGAATTTGTCCTAATGTTCATGCGACATTATGGTAAATGTACATCGAGTACATCAGTTCAATTCAAAAAGGGTGGAATGGACAATTAAACACCTAGACAGTGATGCTATGCCACTCAACTTAAAACATAAACAATATAAAACATCAAAGTTCATGCTCAATAATCCAGATGAATCCAAAAAAGTTAAGTCAGGTCCTCTGGATGGTTTCTTTTAGTTGAAGCGTATCCTCTTTTATCCAGAAGACTTCATCAGTCCGAGGAGCCACAACAAACTCAGTCTTATAAATAGCACCTTCACATAGTGGCTCAACCAGGAGGAGAGGGCGGACTCCAGAAACCATCTTCGCACCATCAAACTGGTTGACCCACTTTGTAAGGTACTATTTATAAGACTGAGTTTGTTGTGGCAGGCGGCGCTGTGGCACAGTTGGCAGAGCTGCCGCCTCAGCTTTGTTGGAACGATACAAAACATTACCTGGAGAAACTGCATGTTGCTGTGGGGCCGTGATAGCTGGTGGTCAATGCTGCAGACGGTGTTCCTGAAGCTGCATGTTTGAGCCAAGGGTGCATCAGGAAGGACATCCGGCGTAAAGGTCTTGCCAAATCTTCGATGAAAGTTTGCTCGCTGTGGTGACCCGGAGCAGCCAAACAATAACTAGAGAAATAGCATTTCTCTGCAGTTGTCAAAGCTAAAAGAAGCAAGACACATGGTTAACAGTAACAAAATGTTAGCTAAAAGAAGCAAAATGTTAGCTAATAGAAGAAAAGGGCTAATGCTAAAATGGTAGAAA